GACGGAGGTTTATACTCCAGTCGGATACGATTATTACGTCACAGTGCTTTCATTCACTAAGACCCTTAGGCACATTCGACCAAAATATTTCCAAAATACTCTTGTAATGGGCCTTTTGATACATTCCTTTGTAATAAAATCTCGCTCATTCCGATCAATTACATTTCACATTCCAATATGCCTTTCACTTTTGACATGTTACCTCACTATCCTCCCATGCGAGTGCTAATGTATATATATATATATATATATATATATATATATATATATATAGCTGGATACAGTAGCTCAATACATCAATGTGCACGAATGCTAAGTGCTGTACGCCTAGATGCACCTAAAAACCGCTACATCTCTAATCCGCTGTTTCGCTGCATAATATGTAGAGCGTACTGTACAAAGATGAACTAGGGTAATGGATCATGCGTGATCAGTGCTAGTGACTCTGTGGTGGGATCACACGATCACACGTACAAGCTAGCACGAAGAAGAAAACAGAAGCCGTTGTTTGCAGGCAACTCAGACCATCCCGCGTGGGGTAGCTTGAACGACAGCATCTACAGATACTCGCATGAGTGGCAAAAATGTTAGTTTGAGTGTTCCGCCGCCAAGGCGCATCAGGACACTGTCTCTTACTGAAGCTCAGCACGTGAAGTTTGTCATGAGCAGTCGAACGGTCATATGGGAATTCCGCCCATATTTCAACCGATTTGTCGATCGCCTGCTTAACTAGTCGAAATAAGCGACCGATGTGACGTTGAGTTTTCATGTTATGATATGGAAAACATGCCAGCAAAGTGCGAGCAATTTTTGTTTACAACCACACACACCTAGACACATCATCTAATAATATTTGTGCGTACCGGTCTACAGTGTTTGTGTGCGCAAGGGATTACTTCAGAGAAATGGAACACAATTCAGGAGTTACGCTCTGTACGTCAACTCCGTCACTCCGCTTTTGAGTACTCTTTTAGAACGATAAAAATCATTGCGCAATGTCTTAAGCCCACTGCCTGCTGTAATGTGGACCAACAGAATTCATCCTCATTACAAAGCTATACATTACAAATCTATACACGTATCGCGATATCTCGAATATCGTAGCGACTGAAAAATGAGGCGGCCTGGTGCAGCACATTCAGTTGCCTGAGAACATCGCAAACGAGAGATTCAGCTGGGTTCTAGGTGAGTCTCTCGAAAAAAAACAAATTAGTTTGCAAATGAGTGTATGTTCGCTAATTTCGTGCAATTTGGTTTCAAGTAGAACATAAGGTTGACGGAAACCCGGGGACTGCGCCTACCTGATGAGCCCCAAAAAGGGCGAAACCGGTCGTGGGCTGTCGACGGATTTTCAGCAACCTTATGAGTAGTACATTACAAAGAATTCACTTTCAATCTGTTTGGAGCACTTCTCGACCTCATTTGTGGAGCGACTTCAGAAATAGAACTCCACTTGTTCAGAAGTTAGCAGACATTTAGTCATTAACGCAGTCAGGATAACATATGTTACTCTGAAATTTGTTTTTTGGTAAAACGCAATGCGCACAATTTATAAGGCCACGAAAGTCAGCAGGAGATGGAGAAGGAACTCCATCAGAGACAACCTTTTTTGACAGTTGAATTGAGCCATTCAGATTGGATGAGGAACGGTCGGGTTTGTTTGACCGTTGAGCTAGTCATGGAGGTTTATTGAAGCAGGGCACTTAAGTTTTAATTCTTACAGCGAATGTCTTTACAGTACCATGGTGGTTTTTAACCGAGCGATTTTTCCTTGCAGTACCATCCTGACAACCAGTTTTTCCCCAATTTACATAGGCGAGACGATGATCTCGGTGAAAAAAACTGAGTGGGAAGGTGATTTACTTCGTGTGGAATGTTCAAAGTTGTTGCCCGGTAATGGTGTTCGTATCACTGTAACGAGCGAGGCGGATCCAGGTGTTGTCCACAGATCTTACAAGCAGCAGGCAGTTTTACTCCCTGTTCCACCGTGCCAAGACTACCTTGTCAAAGCTGAGTTAACAAATGGGAAGGATGTGATTCATTCTTCGGTGCCAAAGGCTATTTCGGCAAGATATCCTGGTGAGCAAGCCCGTCATTTGCTGCATATATATATATATATATATATACATGATAATATCAGTGACAGTGTAAAAGTCCTGACTAGAAGTAAAACAATGAGTTAGTCGATACTTTTATCATTAGAAGACAAACCGCACTGTCAGATGCTATTTATAAAATGAATAGCATTTTCCATATGACTAGCTTTCCCTCCCAGTAACATTGTTTTCCGTGGACTTGGGATCGTCTTCAAGCTCCCCCACTTGATATTGTATGTTCAAGATACGTTCACCTGTTGAGATGCGAAAATTCAGATGTCCAACGTGCGTTGGTGGAATAATGGAATAGTTCGACTAGCATGTCAGGTTTCAGGAGTTCAAACCCCGGTACGGCCATTGGACATGCACTGATGATGAGCTCTAATAAGAGCGAAACTCGGCTCCAGTTCTTACCATCCCTTGGTGTGTATTCACTAGAATAATTGCGCCAGGACAGGAGGACGACTGTCCAAACAAGAGTGATGTGAATGTGAATGCTTTGCTGGAAATGACAAGTTGATTGAGGACCTACAACTTATTATAAATATTTGAAGACTTCCATTAGATCAAATGTTACGTGCAGACTTATGTCGCCAACGACAAAAACGACTGTCTTTTCAAGCTTTCGTCATTCTTGCCACTCGCTTTATCTTTTATCTCATTCCTGCAGTCATTGATGCACCAAGGAATCTTGTTATCAAAGCTGTGCCACATGTGCTTGCACATCGAATTACCTGGAATCCACCGTTGCTGTCCGAACCTACTTGTTCTGAGATGTCCTACAGCTTGGAACAAATTGTTCAGGATGGAACCACGGAGCGCAAGACGTTTTTCACATTATTAACACCGGAAAAAACAATAATGGATCTGATTCCGAATACAGTGTACCAGTACAAAGTAAAAGCAATTCTAAATGCAGTGTATGAAGGACCGTCCTCAGAAGCGGAGCAAATCATAACACCACCAGGTGGTTTAGTCCATATTTTTCGGTGTTTTCTTCTGAACCGTATAATTTTAACTGTTTTTCACTAATTAGCTCTTCTTCATTCTTCGTCAGGAAATTCTCAGGGCAATTAAAAATATGTGCAACTGATTGATCCGCATGGTGTTTTTCCATAGGTTAACTCCAGTTATGGGCATATAAATCACCGGACTCCAACGAGGGATCAATATTTCAAAAGTTCTCCAAACTACGGGCGAACCACGAGGTACATTATTAGAGTGATGGTCTAACAAATAGTCTTTGTCTATCAATCTCAACTATCCCACCTAGTTAAGAATATGAAAAAAAACGATGTTACTAAAGGATCATAATGAAAGGGCAGGAGGTTTGATTTTGCTGTGAGGCAAAAACCCATGCACTCGGTAATTAGAGGAGCACTCATCGTCTGCTCCTCACTTATGAGATTTCTTCCACCGTGAACGACCGTATAGTGGTCTGGGTTGGCTGATTGACAAGAGCTCATGCAACGTTTGTGCACATCAAAATCGATGAGCAGTTTTTCTTTATCCTAGTAATTGCAATAAAATTTCAAACTGGTTGTGATGACCGAACATTTTTCAGAATTTTCAAACGACATCAACATCTACTTATGACAAATTTGTCCGGATCTAAGCTAATTAAGAAAAGAATCCATTGTAGTGGAATTACATCCGTAAGTTACGTGCGTTTAAAAAAGTATTGTGACATCAGTAATAACCAATTTTGACGAAGTTGCTGTAAGGACCGCAAGAGCATTAAAATCCTTGATCTCCTAATTATTCATGCAGTATGCAATGAACACTTAATAAAGCAATTACCTCTGGATATGTGGTCATCTATCACCTACCAAACCGCACAGTGATGATATACCCACCAGTGGGGATGAAACGTTTTCTACCCGATCATGGCTACCATACTTTTGGAGCTTTGGACGACTGAGGAGTACACTGACACAGATATATATGTACAAATCTTTATACGCTTTTACTAAGTACTAACTGTGTTATCCGTTGGTCAGTTTGTTTTCAACAAAGAAATACTAAGATATTCCTATTTCTGCCTTTTGGATTCTTCTATAGTACCTTCGAAACCGACGGAACCCAACGTTTCTTGGACAGATACGGGGCTGTTGATAGATTGGACGGATAAGCTAAATGCTGTAGAACAAATAGAGAGGGTGAAAATTCTACACTCAACTGGAACACACCTTGTCCAGCACGACGAAGAAGCAACTGCCCAGCGTGCGACGCTCGATGTTCAGAGTATTCAGTGCAAATCACGCGTTCTGTATGCTGTTGAAAATGCCGCTGGAAAGTCCGAATTCATTTCCCTCACCATCCCAACACAGCTTCGTAAGTGGTAGTAATAGAAACCTGTCGACAAACATTCAGATGACTGTATTCTGTAACTACCAGTGCAAACTGGCATCGGTTAGGTTGTCAGCAAATCCACGTTGCACCAAACAGGAAGTCCTATTGCTCATTTACCAAACAAATCATCCTTTGCCCCGTAATTTGATCTTCATGAATCGGATAGGGCGTAGGGACGCAATAATTCGCATTAAACGTGCCCAGTCTTACCTTTTCACCATTTAAACCTTATTGCACTATGACTTTTGTAAATTCCGTTCTCCTACTATAGCCTTACCCGTTCCTGGAGGATTGCGAGTGAAGCCCGAGTCAAATAGCTTGGCACACTGGGTTATCTGGGATCCCGTTAAAACTGGATGTGAAGTACACTATCGTGTCGTCAGCATGACTAATGGACGACAGATAACACATTCCGAGACAAGGCAAACGAATGTTTTCATCAAAGATGCAGCACCGGGAGAAGTGTATACCTACGCCGTTCAGACTGTGGGTACTGACAAGCAAACTAGTGTCCTCTCAACAACCGCGACATTTAGAACACCCCAGGGTGAGTATTAATTCTGCAACAATTCTTCGACAAAATAACTTAGCTTCAACCTTTTGTGTGCCATAAAATGCTCAGAAATGGGGACTTGCCTCGGACCTAATAAAGTTGAACATAAATCGAACAATACAGCGGTGTTCATTAGTAGCGGTTAGGCTGACTTAGCCTTCTGAATAATTACGTTTTATTGAAAACTGGAATGCTGGTTTCTCTGTGTAAATTTTATACATCATTCTCAGTGGCAGGCGTTTTTTATTGCATTGCTGTGGATATGAGATTAGATCTGTTGGCGACAAAACCATTGTTATGCTTATTTGCAACGTACTACTCATAGGGTTGCTGAAAATCCGTCGACAGCCCACGCCACGTTTCGCCCTTTTTGGGGCTCATCAGGTAGGCGCAGTCCCCGGGTTTCCGTCAACCTTATGTTCTACTTGAAACCCGTTTGCGATGTTCTCAGGCAACTGAATGTGCTGCACCAGGCCGCCTCATGTTTCAGTCGATACCGATATTCGAATATCGCGATACATGTATATCTTTGTAATGTACTACTCATAAGGCCAACAGCCCACATTCAGTTGCCTGAGAATATCACAAACGAGAGATTCAGCTGGGTTCTAGGTGAGTCTCTCGAAAAAACCAAATTCGTTTGCAAATGAGTGTATATTCGCTAATTGTCATGCTTACTTATCAACCCAAAGCTCAGACACTGTTGAATTCCGTGTAAAATTCAAGTATTTAAGGAATTGTTTGTTAGAAGAATGAAACACTTAGTTTGAAAGATGATGGAACTTCTGTCAGAAATTAAAATCGATGGAACGTCCAGAACTTCGTATGAAACCAGAAAGAGCACAACGTGGTAGAAGCCAGGTTTTGCACAGAATGTTCTCAAAAACCATTGCTTACAATGGCGAGAAATTTCATTTGATTCCTTCTGTTTATTTCGGGTATGACGGACAAAATACTTATACATGTATCCCCGTCGAATGGTCTTGATACTAGCTTGCGAGTGCTAGACCCAACTACGATCACTTGCAGTCAAATTGAGCCACGGAATTCAATCAGTTAGCACCACTCCAACAAATACAGTCAGTTACCACAAGCTTTGTGCATTGAACTCTCTACAACATCGGAGCGGGTGGGCCAAAATGATGGCAGAGTCCGGTGCTAACTTTACAGGTTCCAGGTCCAAGGACCCAGCAGCATGGTACTAGACAGGATCTGTTCACTGCATCTCACCATTGCTCTTCAGAACATTAGTGTGAGAAGACTCCATTCTTTGTGAGCAGAATGGCGATCGGTGAAATGTTTTTGTCTGCTCTAATTTCCACATCCGTCATTCTTATTCGTTTAGCTAATCTACGTGTGGATCAGCGGTCGAGATGAATACGGAAATGTGTTTGACCTTCTTCGTGTTGTTTGTTGGTATAATGCGGTCTAACTGCGTCCGCCTGGTGTGAAATAGGCTTTCGGCTAATTCGGATTTCCGCTGGTACAAGTAGAACAGACAGCTTCTCAGATGCAATCAATCGAATAGAAGCAACACCACTTGCTTATTTCTCGTCACGCACAATAGTTGTCTCACTGTTACAAAACAGTAAATGTGCTGAATGGTTTGTCTGCTCGCGAAAGGATTGTGCTTATCGTCAGGCAGTCAGAAGCCGGTTTGCATGTGTACGTTGTGAGTAGACGTGCTGGGACTCAACATTGTTTGCAGAGAAAAATTTTGACGATGACGATGATGATGATGATGATGTGATGATGATGACGATGACACAACCGTATGACATACCTCGGATCACTTGTGCAAGTCCTGTGAAGTAGTGTGACAGAAAGGCTCGTTTTATACACAAAAATATAACAGAGATGTCACTGGATATGCATATCAAGAGCGTGCATTTCGTGGTCAGGTTATTATTCCAAAACATCGTTATAGCTTTACCACTTTTACCAAAGTTTCCGCTAGCGTCAGTGCACATAAAGTTAGTCTTTTATCAGTAAAAGTAAACACGAACTAACCGAACTACGAAAGCCATGGTATACCATTGAACAGATTTAGCTAACTCCTGTTGCTCCAAACTGGGTGATTCTCCTCTGGTTTGCCATGTGATCATCCGTAACTCATCGTCACACAGGCAGGAAACCTATTCGGCTCACAGTCTAAGTTTAGTAACAGGGTGGAAGTCTGTCGCAACACCCAGTTTTCCTTGCTTGATTTTCTGACTATGATCGTATGTGTGTATACTTGATAGTTTGGCCATGAAGTTTGCCTGTTTTGACATTTGGTTCGGTTTGGGATCCATGGTGGCAATGGAATAAGCTGTTTACGCATCCTAATGCTGAACCAAAATACAGCCATCTTCTATGGGTTTACTTCATGGAAGTACACAAGTCATTCAGTTTCTCTGTTAGGATAGATAGCAAATCACCATGAAGTCACTTCCAAACAGTGACACGTTAGTCGTTTGGTGGGGGTACATGTGGGACGTACATAATATCGGTGACTTCATGCTCACCGTGCTGTACGAACAGCCGCTAGCGGTACGCGAACCGCTTTTATCGTATTTCCTTAACTCCAGAGCATTCAATGCATGCGGCCTAATTATAGTTTTATAGGGTCGTATTTTCCAGGGACGCTGGATAACCGTGCCATGCCTAGCCACTGTTAGTCGTCAGCTTACGAAACCAGGGTGCATTAATGTACTGGTGAGTCGAAGAATAACCCACCGGTTCTCTAGGACACTGCTGGAGGAAGACATATTGTTCGGAAATCCTAGATACGATCTGTATTCTGAACCTACCCCTGAAGATAAGAGTGCCAAGCTTCCGGGTTTCAAATGATCAAAGTTGTTGATCATACTCATACATTAGCATACCGAGAAGTAATATGAGGAACTGGGTTAAGCGACAGCTGACAAGAATGCCATCCATTGCAATGTGTATAGCTAACAACCTCTGTAGAAATCAGGCTTGCCTCAGCCATTAGCACGTTAATATTAAAGGATTTAGCTTTAGATGTTTGACACAAAAGGAGACCGGTTTGTTTTTGGTTTCGGACTTGTTGAAGCCAAGTTACTTTGGTTAATCATTTGATTGTAACTGGTCTAGACCACTAACTCGGTCATTAAAAACGGATTAAGGTTTTCAGGACACAACAATAAAAAGCACGGCTATGGCACGACAAATATTTATTCATGCTTCGGCATGTGACGTATTTCGTATGCTACTTGTAATCTAGGATTGCAGTTACGCAACAACTTGCAACAATAGCCTGGGCTCCGGTTTTAGTGGAGGATAACCTGAATCTCAGCAACACGGATCAAAAAGGTTCTGTGCGTATCCGTACCATCACATCAAATGGATTATGCACTGTATGTGATATTTAGTATGACGGATTTGTGATCAAAAGACTCAAGATAACGTGTAAAGTTGAATTATTAAAATTTTGCACCACAGATCAGTCGCAATCACAAAGCCTAAAACATCGGTTCTCCTTTTAGCTCAAATTACAGTCACAGCATCTGAACTGGCCACAACATGTAAGGCGAGGAGATAGGGTACCGTTAATGGGGCATATGGGACGTTGATTGTATGATCATGGGGCTTTAGACCTTAATGCTAAGCTGAGTGACCGAGTACAGCACGTAAGTTGTACCGTTTGACTGTAGTTGGTAGGTCTGCTTTGTCCTGTAGTCTGATAAAAAGTCCTTCCTTTTTAGTGAATAGCCAGACTTCAGCTTAGGCCAAGGGGTGCTGTAGATGCGGAGGAATGAATATGGACAATTTGGTCGTTGACTTGTTCGCTGAGCAGGGCAATTCGATTGCAAACGTTTCATCACCAAACCAATCGACGTCATCGGTGCGTTATTGGGGAGCGTTTGCAATCAAATTGCCTAGCTCAGCCAAGCCAATGACATCTACGCTACCCAAGCTACCAACATTTTCCTCTATAGGAAATATGGACAATTGTTTGAACACACGGTCCTTTTTAGGAGCTCTTCTCGATCCTGAAGCAAGTTCGTAGTACATATGGGTATTACCAGATTTAGTAAGTAATAGTAAGTAATAGTAAGTTATAGGCGCAAAACTAAAATATTGCAACTTTGTTCGGTGTTTTTGAATTTGTGGTGCACTAAATGCTTAGAAGTGCCATGCGAAAGTCAGACGTTAAGAAATAAAATAAAACATCACCAGTTTCTAACCCAAAAGCTACTGAAGGCGCTGGATGAAATATCTTCACACGACTTTTAAAGTGGTTACAGACTACTAGAAACTAAAATGTCGTTAACATGTCATTTGCATAGCATCAAAGATATACTTAAAAAGCCATCTCTTACAAAAATACAAGCTGCAAAAAATTCTAATTGGGTTTCCTTCTATCAGCGAAGTCAAACTATGTTAAGATATAGAGAAGTCGACCAAAATCTACGGTTGGAAATTGTGTGCCTGGTCAAGACATGACACTCATATTTGTAGATTGTAACTGGGGCCATCTTGTGAGTTCTGTGGCTGATTTTGCCGGGACATGACACGCCATACCGATTGTCACTGGCGATTGCGCAAACCGCCAAAGCTTCCAAACGGTACGGTTTAGTATGGATTGTCACTTTTGTCCCTCAGCTACTGCTACTCGGTCTCTCCCGATCAAACAACCCCTTGATTGCTGACTTTGCAGTGGTGGATTCCCAGTTTCTTTTGTTTTTCAATTTTGGTCATCTTGCTTCTGATAACGCTCACTCACAGTAAACAAAAGTGAACTAATAAAAATCCACACTAAACGCTTTGCTTCAGGCCGGAAAAAAGAGGCATCTATGAAGTCGTAAATGATATCATGACGGGAAACTTTCTCAAAAAACCTAGCGAAACATCGAGTTAAGCAGAGGGGTATTCGTGAACCCGCATGGCTTATCGTACTTTCAGATTCCAGAAAACTGTTTGAAAGCGTGGGACAGAAGAGCATACCGCTTAATAAAACGAGATGAGGGTGTATTTGGTAAACACACCTATTCCTAAGTTTGACAAAAAGGACAAGCAGTGATGCGTTAACTTTCTAGAAAAGATATAACATTTATTTATTCTTGCCATGAGTGACTAGATTACGGTGGACCTCACAGAAGAGAAAAGTTGCTTGTTTTACTTCTAGAACTTCTGTAACTTCGATATCCAGACAATAGCACCCATTCGGGTTTTCCACAGTTGAGCTTCACACGGCAGATTATTTTGTGTGCTCAAACAAAAGTCAATCACAGTGGGGTAAAGGTTGTTTTTGTATGGAAAAGGCGTGTTTCATAGAAGACTTGACGTTTACGGCGTGTTTTCGTCACTCTCAGTTTTGGTCTGGAGGTGCTAAGCATCATAGTTTAATGCCGTAACCTTATTCTGGCATTTATGTGCATCTATTCGCACGACGGCTGTAGTTGCTTTATCAGGCTCCCTTTCTTACTGTGTCGAAAGGAATGTACAGTGTGTAATAAAAACTTTCTCTATTGATCTTTCCACAGGCCCGGTAGTGCGCAAACAATGAACCCTGTGTTGTACCCTATAGAGCATAACATTCCTTGTTCTTCACAAGGTATTTTTCACCTGCTCAACTGGAAAAGGAATTTAAACTCTTCAAGTGTATGGGGTAAAACTATTTGAACTAGACGTTTCATCTCTTCTCGCGTTATTATTGTGACAGGACATGTCGCAATTTTGATGCAAGTTGAATAAATGAGCAATACCAACGGCAGTTTGTCCCCCAAATTGTGCGGTCTTCGATGCTGAGCCAACATAATTTTCAAGGCCTTGACGCAGGTTATGGAGAAACCTAATTCGGATTCTGCAGTGCTGGTGATATAGTTTTTGAGATCGAAACCGTACGATCAATCTATTAGAAAAACCATCCACGTCGTTGTAGTTGCTATTTTTTACCTCCTCAGAAATGAAAGTTTACGTCCAGGTTCTGCTGGCTTGTTTTCCATGCTAAGTTTCATGCCTATGTTTTGCTATACTGATGAACTGTAATTGTAATGCCTCATAGTTTCGGCGTGGTTCAGCAAAAAGAATCGCGCCGGGCCAGGATTTTGAAGGTGCAGTTAATGCAGAAACCAGCTATAAGGATCTTTGGCCACAGAGAGGTAATAGGACGTAGTTTTCGCACCTCTCAAAGTGAAAATGACTGAAGCCTATATCGAATCAACTTTTGCTAGGAAGAAAAAAATCGAAAGTTATTAGCTGAAGCACTTGTTAGATGACAAAGGTTTCGACCATCTGGAACCCCTTGTAAACACTGCCGAAAACTGGGTATGTCTCAACGCGTGATATTACTATCGTTAGCCCTGGCCACAAGAAACCAGTGCCAAGCACGAATGGTCCAGATTATGGAAGATGAACGACTGGCTAGACTGGCTGCGCGTGCGTTTCAGTGTGACGTACGAACATGAACTGCTACCAGTGTAACGGTGACACTACTGATGGGGGAGGCATGCGAGTAGTATGTTTTCTTCTTGTAAATTCGCTTTGTGTCTCTTGAAAAATAAGATCTATTGCGGAATTCGTAGAGTTGCTTCGTAGCATTTGCTTAGATTTGATCAACAGTCATTGACTACCCAGAAAAGTTCAAGAAAACGCGTTTAAGAGAAGATGGATGTTCAGTTTTTGTAAACAAGATGCAAATGAGAGTTTTGCTTCCCTGTACAATAGACTGTAACTGGTCAGTTGGCGTTTTCCAATAATGACTCCGCAGTGAAGGCCACATTCCTTTCACCAGTGGCGTGTGGCAATGCCGGGGCATTTGGGGACTCACAATGCGACATATGCATTCGAAATTTTAACTTGTCTGGGTTTCTCCCTCAGATTGTCGTAGTCGCTGCTTAAAGGTGTTCGCCGCGTACTGAAACAAGACGACACTCCGAAATGTGATCCCCTTTGAAAAAATTCCGGATAAAAATACTTGAATGGTGAGCCATGTCGGATTCTGGCTAAGTCCGTTGTCTGATAGAGGCTATCCACCCCAACACCAGTTATGTATAATTTATTGCCCAATTCTAATTGCTCATTATTTTATTGGAGGATGGGTTCACAAAATCGATGTGTGGCCTAACCTCAGAAGATTATTCTCACTCAGATTCTCATCCCATGCTGTAATTTCTTCTGAAAACTTCGTTTGTAGCTACAAAAATGGAAGTTAAGATGAAAGGCAGGGTTACAAATGGAGGCATCAGTGTCAATTGGGAACATCCAGGAAGCAAAATGGATAGTTACTCCCATGTTGTATTCATTGTGAAGGAGAGAACCCAGGAATCTTTGTTTAATCATCCGTTTGGTCAATACAGTATCGTCCTTCCAACCAAATATAAAACGGGACCTGTGAAATTATACGCAGCCGTCCAAAATGCGGCCGGGCTATCTCCGTTTAGGAAAGTGACGCTACGAAACAAGAAGATACGAGAAGGTGGACGCTGAGCAACTAAACGCAACATATTGGAAATCCCAGCATTTTATACCTGTTCCATTTTTCACATTTTGCAGCTCCACAATTTCTGTGCACTCATTCGACTGCAAAATATCTAGTAAAATGCAGGTTTTGCCAATACCAAAACGCGCTGAATTTCGTGAAGCGGTGTTTTTAAAACACTCGAATCCTGTCTAACTTTATTGGTTCTACTCCTCTATTAGTGTTTCATGCAAAATGCTAGCTCTTTGATCTGTATTCCAAACCAAAGTATTCCGAACTGGAATGCCTAAGAAGACCATTGTGCATTATTCATTTCCCGGGTAAAGTGTACAATTGGTTTTCATTTCTTCAAGAACGCCTGCTATTCGAGACTGCCAGATTTCCTTGTGGTGTCTCGTTTGGACTGATTGCTGGACTGAGTCGGATGAATATTTTTTTTAAAAAACTTGCCTCTTGTTAGCAGCGTGAGGTAAATTTTTCCCATCTATCCTCTTTGCGTGCACCCTGGAGAAAATGTTAAACTATTTTGGTGTTTGCGTCTTTCAAATTAGCTTGCTGTGCTACTTTCGAGGTTTCAATGATCTGCTCGCAAATTCACTGGTTTCTATGGCGCATATTGTGGTTGGTTACTTATACATTTGGGCGTTTCCGGCAATCTCATGATCATTTGGCGATATTGTTGGGTCATTTTGCTTGAGCAGATTTTCTCCTCGTCTCAGAGGAGTTTAATCTTTCAAGCACACGAGACATATGACGTGATGACGCCGTGCCTTCTTTATTGGAGTTGCTTTCGAATGGGACTGTCCTCAGACAGAACTACTGTTGTATGCCTGGTCAGCTGGATGTTCACGTTAAATTGAAAACAGAGACTGCAGTTATATGCTTATTATAGTTCTGAAAATATTACATGGTTGCTCTTCATGGAAGCTCAGGAGACGATCATTACTTAGCATGACAATTCACGACAGTTCAGCTTTGCAACGCAGGACATTTGGACGCCAAGTATGTCAATAGCTTTTTTCTCTGATACGTATCGTCAGCGCTCATTTTGGAAACTTAGTGCTGAAATCAACACACACAGCTTTGTGACTTGTCGAGCGATAAATCATACCTTGCAGTGCACGCTCGAGGAAAATCGGTTAGACAATGCAATGCAGCGCTAAGTTGTCATCAATGAAACAGTTGTACGCAGCTCAGGTAGATTCAGACTGACTATTGTTTCAGACGCGTCAGGTTCTATTTGGAAATAATCGCAACACCAGAAAACAAGGTGTTCTCACCCATAGCAGACCACTTTAAATATTCAAACATTAGGTTGTGTTTGCGTTCAGATCGACTGAATCAACATGGATATCGTAAACCTGCAAATTTCACAACGCCATCTTATTTACAAATGGGTCACTCACGAGATCAGATAGCAGAAAAAAACATAACTTAAGGGACTCCAAGCCGAACCGGAAACTCTTAGATATCTCCGTTGAATCAGATTTTAATAGGATTGGTACCCCTAAAACCAGTGAAAGATAACCAGAGAGTCCGATATTTGCCATGTAGTATTTGCCTAAAATTTGACGCATTCTGTCATTGTAGTTCCACGCCAAAATATATACGAATGGTTGACTATCTGTCTTGGTGTCCTCCAAATATTTCTTTCCGTAAACAAAGTTGAAAACAAACTTGAATTCGCTCAAAGGCTAATTCTAGTAAACTTTAATGTGCGTTTTTAAACTATGTTCCGGACAGGGAGCGAGATGGCTCAGTGGTTTGAGCGCGAATTTACTGACCGGAAGGTCTGTGGTTCGAACAAGACTTCTCTTATCTAGGCTTGGACAACCTTACCCTCATATGTCCTTCGGATGCATGGCAGCCAAGCACCGAAAGCGTGTTACAGCTGAGCGATTATTTTTGTTATTTTATCATTACGTTCAGGACAATATGCGCCTCTTTATTTAGTGTTTTAGCACGCTGCTTACCAGAGGTACACATAAGTTTCTATGATTTTGGATAATAAGCCACGGCCCAATCTTCCAATATTTTTCAATATCTCAGATTGCTCACAGAGGGCTATTTGATACTACGGAACAAAAACTGACGTTGCATTATCTCTCTGGAATTATCATTTGCAGAACTGTTATGAATGTTTTGTCAGACTGGGATATAGAAGGAACGAATGATAATGCGACCAGCAAATAAACCCTGAGCTCATTTCTCTGCTCAGCTTTCTCAGGTGTAACAGCGCTCGTTTGAAAATTGAAACTTCGTACGTTGACGGTTCGACAGGATCCAAATACTTCATTGGGCAGCAAGCAAGTACGAACGATTTAACTTTTCATTTGAGGCTAATTCATGCAGAAAAACCTGGAAGCACCATGCTTCCTCCCTCTTTATATCACCAGTGGTGCGCATCTCACGAAATTCAAAGAGTTTCGACCCCGAAACCTTCCAGTCAGTGGTTGAACAAGTGGCTAAGCAGCAGCATGACTAGATCTCACTCAGACAAGACATAGCTCCACTCGTACATTAATCATAGAGACCGAATCGCATGGTTTTGTGCAGTCTCGTTCTTCGTGTGCTGACGTCTCAGATGGGAGTTTCACATATCTTGTTAACTTATTCTCCCCATGTCACGAATGGATGGCATTACCGTTCAGTCACTCGAGGTCGTACAGTTAAGTGTTCAACCAATGGCCAGAGGGTCGCGGGTTCGAAACGCACTGAATTTCGTGAGATGTGCGCTGCTGATGGCTATTTGACAGTAATGAGCAGCTTATTGCCTTTTCAGCATGGATTAGCCTCGCTGTAACGACAAAATGTAAATAAAAAACCACAAAATCTCCTCACACAACTGTCGGTTTCAGTTGAGTCTTAAAAAAGATGTGTTGGACATAAAGTTCCATAAATGTGAACTAACAAAGGTCATTTTAAAAACGGTTGAAGTGTGGCATTTCTCAGTAAAACCAAAGAGGGTATTTTGATGTATTTCAGTCTGGATGCTGTCCAATAACACACACTGAAGAAACGTCAAAAAGCATGTTAGTAAACTAGGATTAGTTTGCAGATACCCTACTGGCGATGAAAATAACTTTGTTTATCCTTCAGATTATGAACACGTTTTCCCGTAAACTCATCTAAATTGGGTCAGGTGGTATTGATTTTCAACAGACAATTCAGATTCCCACTCGTAAATGTATGCTATCGTACGTTAATCTCCGTTTTTTGAAATAAGTAATTCAGAAGAAACTACATCATAGTATTCGTTACTGGGGCATCCAGTCAATATGAGGACCAGTGATGTGAACGAATGAGGAATGAATGGCTTTGCATCTTGATTTAGGATGAGTCAATCACCCTGTTAATAAGACGGTTTGGTCTTCGACCACTAGCCTGGACGTGACAGCCTCTAACTGTCATGATGATCAATGAGGATGATTCTTCACAAAGATATGCAAAGTTTCGCGACTTATCGAATTGGATTGGGATGTAACCATGACTGAACTTCTCAGATCTTCCATGTTATTAACATATTTTTTTATAATTCCGAGAGATTTTCTTTGCTTTGCATGATATGGTGCACAGGAAAAACGGCTGCTTACATGCGTACGTAGAAGATAACGCACGAGATTTTGAAATCTTGATAGGGCCTTATGCCATTGCGTGCAGTTCTGATTCGCAAGCGACTTTCAAATATGAATCAAAATGGACCCTTCTCTATCCGCTTGTTTGGAGCCTAAAGTCAACAGCCGATGCCGAAACCCAACTTCACCATCACGTGTACAACGGATGTGTTAGGCATGCGTATGAGATCATGTCATCTAAGATTGTTATTAGAATCGATTTGAATGGAAATTCGATGTGATGCGCCTGCTCAATCCTACAAAAAATGTAGCTCGTTTTTGAGAAGCCGAACACTTCCGGTCAGACAAGCAAAAGGAAATGTTTGCATGAATCGATTACATTGATTTCAGTCGATTCCATTACACATGAAAAGCTTCAAAAGAATGACCATTTCCGAAGAGTTCATATTCAACATGTGATGTTAATCATAGCGGGAGCTTTTGAGTTTACAAAAACAACGGCAAAGTTTCGCTGAGGAACTGTTAGTTCTTCACACTTGATTCAGGATTAGGATGCGTGATTAGAGAATCACTGTCTGTTCAAAATAATATGCCTCAAGCTCACTACCGGAATCGATTCTTGGATCAGATGAAATGTTGAACAACTCAGGGTATAAATTTTACCGGTTGTAATCTCGACCTTAATAGGTGGGGTGCTCAGAAACCAGAGCAACGCGGGCAAAAGTTTTCAAATTCTAAAGTACAAAAATAAATTAATATCTAGTTTGGGAAGCTAGTGAGCTCACGATAGCAGCGAAAAACTAGCCAGTCACTCTTATGTGAAGTTAGCTGCTTCCTACTGTAGAAGGACTTGATTTTTTCAGCAGTCAAAAGAGTTCCATGAACGAAGGAGATTTTCGAGCTTTCATTCCGTGTTTTGAATGCATTATTTAGCAAGCGTGGAAGAACTCCGAGCTTATCTGGCGACACCCTTAAATGCCAAACTGCCGAAAGCCAAAAAAATCACCGATATTAGCCCACTTTTGATGAGTTGAGGCAGGTGGACATGTTGTAACGTGCACAGCATCTGAAATCAGATATATTAAATGACTATATTTCACGTCCCAAGGAGAAACTCAGCCGATAACTGTTCCGTCAGATTGACAGCGCGATCATTAAATCGAGAATAATTAGGAGCAATCTTGAAATTGGTAAGTTTTTGCGATTAGTATCGTACAAAATTGATGGGTAAAACAAAGAAGCGCCTTTGGATGGGGCCTAACTAGGTATATTGAATTGGTAGACAGCATGCACAGTGAAAACTGATTTAGAAAATGCCGAACGATTGAGTCAGAAGCAACGATTCATGCCGCAGTTGTTATTGGTTGGTTAGACGGAGGCAACCTTGTGTAAACAGAATAAAAAGCATATAAGAAGCGAATATATCGATAACGGATTAATGTTAGTGAGTGTGGTACATGAAGGACAGGTGTAGGTTCGTGAAGAACTGTCATCAACTAGAGCACAGCCGACCAAAATCCGCGACACTATCCGGACGTAGTGATTACTAACTCACTCACACTAATTAAGGTTGTAGGGAAAGAAATGTTGGCTGAAACTCAGATACAGAGTCCCGAATTATCATTGAAACACTATTGAGTTCCTCATCACCACCACCANGAAAGAAATGTTGGCTGAAACTCAGAGACAGAGTCCCGAATTATCATTGAAACACTATTGAGTTCCTCATCACCACCACCACCACCTTCCCTACGACATTCAGGCTCTGGAGTCGACTACTCGCTTGATCACATAGTCAATGCAACGACACGGGTAGTTTCAGGTTCGCAGTTGGATGCATGTGAATGGTCTTGGAGATTTGCCATCAGAGAGTAACATGAGTTCGGCTGCTGTAAGTACAAAATAAATTCTACCCGATTAAGAGTTCAAGAGTATGAGTTACATTGTTCCAACATACCCTGAAATGATGAAAATTATTCATATTTGTTTGACTACTCTCAAGTAATACAACCTTATATATTATTACAGGCTGAATACAACTTGTTTTTTATGCATTTGAAATGGGTAGACGGAACTA